TATATATATATATATATGTACATATATATATATATATACATATATATATATATACAATGCTTAAATGAATCTTTGAATTAAAGATTCAAAATCTCATTCTTTCCAGATTTAAATTGAAAGAAGACCATAAAATCCTATTATTGCATTACAATACATGTAAAATACAAGGCAAATAAACTTTTTATTTCTGTAACAGATCTAGATTTGCACACTCTTTAATTTTTCAATCCCTCTTTCCTCTGTAGTTGAAAAGAAAATAAATATCAGAAAAGAGAAACATTTAGAAAACATTTTAATACTCTTTTAGACAATGAAAATGAAGAAGAAAACATTTTGATCAGAAAATATAAAGACTATTTTGTTACTTTCCACCTTAAAGGATCGTCTGCAAAATGTTTCTTTTTACAAGTCAGATCTGTCTCTCTGGACAACTAATGCACTAAGTGAAAGCCTCTCAATCATATCCAGTTCTTGGTGATTGATTATGATAATGACTCTGTGTGCTGATTGGGGGATCAGTGGGGGTGGAAACAGTTCCTAATGAACACATCTGCTTTTATTGAATCAGCCGATCACTCTTTTTGCATTTGAACTCCCTGATCAAAGAAATCCCTACAAAACATCTAGATGCAAAACAATGGATTTAACTAAGATATAGCAACGCCTTTAATAAGATGCAAAGAAGAAATTCTGTTATATTTACATTTCATTTTTACCATTCTAACTGACCAAATACAGGAAATAGTTAAATATCTGAAAGGGAAAATACAAAATGAATTTTTAGGCAATACATTTAATGATTTCATTTGCTGATAAGGTATTTTAGAAAATCTGGATGCCTGTTGTGTGACAGCAAATATTCCAATTTTTTTTATTCTCCCTGTACTTCAACATTAAAGGCATATATATTGGTGATCAATAATTCATCTATAAAGCGTCACATTTCTCATGAGCTCTCATTGTTAGTTCCACACCAACAATTGACATCAAACATGAAGCACAGAAGCACATTAAGAACTCAACACAGTTACCATCGTCTAAGTTTTTCTCAGTGACCTAATCAAAAATGACAGATCCTGCCAGGACGATTATTTTATTCCTGCATTACATTTGATCCTTTCTTTTGATCCATATAAAAACACCCAGAGAGACTCTTAATTGCAGTAAAGGTAATGAGACATGCAGTGCTGAGCAGTGTCCTTCCAGCTGAATAGAAAATGCAAAACCAGCACAGTGTTCCTGCTCAGACTGAACCGGACGCTACCATCGATCAGGATGGCAGCTTACCTAAAATAAAGCAGGAGCAGGAATAATTTAATATCTGCTTCTTCTTTGCTTTCCTAAAATATCAGATTACAAAAGATTAAAAGAGAACCAACACATCTAACACAGCCAGCTCATGGAGCATATGGCAATGGTGGTTGTTTTAAAGAGGGTTGACCTAATGATCAATCAATCCACTGCACCACTTATTTGAGGCCTATCAAGTGGGTCTAGTTTCGAACAGATTTACAGATAAACTGGATGGTAGGGTAGCAGTGGGATGAATAAAAGAATATTATTTTTTAAGTAGGTGAGTATTCATATTTGACACTTTTTTCAAATAAATATTATACATTACCATCAAAAGTGCTTTTAAAAAAAAAAAAAATCAGAAAGTCAAGCATCCTTAATCGAGTTGAGGTATAGAAACAATTCCAAGGCTTCATGATTTTCTTCACTTAAAGCAAAACTAATGAGAAATCTAAAGCTAAGGCATGGGATATCCAGCAAGAATAGACAGAGGAGCCCCTGTGAAGTGTAAGTGCTTCACACTAGCATTGTTGTGGATTCTCCATCCTGCGTTTGCTTCTCTCTATGCTGTTCCCTGACAAGTGAAAGTATGAAATGATTAAGGATTATGTAAAAACTGAAGTATATTAAGATTTTGGACTATTTTTTCTTCATAAGCATGGATTGTTCTCCTCCAAATGGCTAAGCAAGGGATTCAGTGTTTGCTAATAGACTTTTGGTTGGTATTTTGGGGTAAACCTACTTTTCTGGCATTCAGATTGATGAGAAGCTGCTTCTCTAAAAGGTTAAAATTGATTAAACTAATTTATTATAAAGTAATTATTTTCTTATGGATTATACAGCATCCCCCCACACACAATGCCACTCTAAATGCATAAAGTGTAAGCATTTTTTTTTGTTTTTTGTTGATGGTTTTACTCATTGGTACTCTTAAGAATTTACTAAAACAAAGGTGCTTGCTTGGTGTTTATCAGAATTTTAAAGAATGTCAATCTGGTAATCCATAGCAATATATTTGCTTATAGCTTCTAGACAGGATGAGGACCCAAGTTTATTTTGCTAAAACAGTAAAAGCCAACAAAGCAAAATCTTTAGGGCTGAAACAATTAATATATGTTATATGAAACAATTAATATATATAAATAATAAAATTTATCGATTATTGAAATAATTGTCAACTAATTTAGTAATCGATTAATCATTCTTGTGTTAACTAGAATACAGAGACTCTAACACATGCATTTAGCTGACAGAGCAACCCACTTAGAGCAGCATTTATATCTAAATTGTAAAAGAAATATTTAAACAGTTTGCATTGAAATTAAGAAATAATGTTTCCATCTGTCAATATGCTCTATCCAGAACTCCTCAAGTGGAAAAGTTTTGGTTTAATTAAAAAAAAAATCTTCTTTACGCAACCTTCGTCCATCAAACTAATAATCTACAGATTAATCGATTTGCAAAATATTCATTAGTTGCAGCCTTAGGAATCCCCAAAACTCACTGTTAGAGGATTGCAGTACAGGTCTGCATTTTGCAGACACTAAGTCTCCATAACAAAGATTGCATACTATTTATATGGCAAGGCTCTGTTTAGGGAGCGCACCAGGAACACAGACTTTCTGTCCAATGATCAGACATGGAGTTTGCGAAGATCTACCTCAAATATGAGCTCCAATGTTAGTTTAACGTTCCACTAACATTGGAACTTGAACTAGGAAGTAAGACTGGCATAATTTCTGAGGGGATAAAACAGATGCTAATATTGCAACTATTACAAAAATACTATTGACAATAACTGTTTTATGCTATTTTGTCCACAAAGTTTAAAACAGATAAAGCACAAAATATTGACTAATGTTGATGCAAATGGTAGCCATCTTGAATCCAGAATTTAGATGTGATATCATGAGCTTTTCAAATCACAATTCTTATTTTTTAAGGAAAATCTAAGTTTCAAACTCGGAGTTTGGAGATTTTGAATTTTGACCACAAATGGAACGCAGTGAAATCACCCCTTGCCCGTTTTACGGTATGGTGGAGGATATATGATGCCGTGGGCCTGTTGCTATCCAAAGGTGCTAGAAACCTGTTACACACTCAACAAAGACTTTGAATTGTTATTGAAAAAGATTATTTTACCCTACTTGTATTTACACATCAAAAGAAGCTCAGCTGCCAAACTCATGAAATGTCCCATTTTCAAAACTATCTGTTACATAACAAAGCCGTGAGAATTCCCAAGAGATGGCTGAAAGAATACTTTGATGTGATTTTGCTGTGGCAGCTGTGGGAGATATAATATTCCACTTCTCATAGAATATGTTGCATTCTTAAGAGTATTGAAATATCATGATGGTTGAAATTATTATTTGGTGTTCAGAGGAGAAAACTAAACCCAAATCAACAAAAAAAATCTGCCTTTTCCCACAACATTCCCAGACGGCAGACCTGAATCCTAAAGAACACCTTTTATGTTGAGCTGAAGAGAGTTTAAAAGTTTATCTTGAGAAAATTAACAATGTTGTGCTATTTGGTTCAGAATAACAAGCTATGGGATGAGACTCAGTGCAGAAGTTTCTGCAGCAAGGATACCAATAATTATCCCATCAGATTTTATACATTTATGTATTTCTTTTTTTCCTCCACTGAATATATCTATATTTATAAAAGGTATTTCAGTTGGAGATAGCATAGTAGCAGGGAAAGATAAAATATTTCTAAGGCTTTGCACCTATCTTTACCAGGGTTGTGAATATTTATCAAGGGTGGGGTTAATACATACTTTTTTATTATCTGTGTTCTTGTTACCATTAAATAGGAAGAGAACCAAATAGAATATGGTTGTATAGTGGCACACATCTCCCTTTTCATTTTAGAAAATTTAGTAGTTTTTAATTATATATATATATATTTTTTTTTTGTGTGTGTGTGACAAAACAAACAAAAAACAAAATCCTGCTGAAACAAAACTGGAATTATAGACAAAGTACAATACTGTTTTTTTTTTTTTTTTTATTCATTTTGAGAAAATATTTGGGCAGAATTTCTGCAACAAACAAGACTAGAAATAATATGAATTTGACTTTTGCTGTTAAAGATTAATTTTCAAGTCTTGGTTTCTTTATCAGATCTTAATCTCCTTTAGTCTTCATCATTTCTGCTCATCTTTGGCATTTTATGCCTTTTCTGTCCCCTCCCCCTACTCCCTTTCATGCCTGTCTTCTTTCTTTCACCAGCCTCCTACTCCCTTATCTCTCATCATGCTCCCTGTTCCCCTCCCTCCTTCAAGTTGGTGGACAGACCCTCGCCACTGGGGATCCTACGCTGCTAATTACTCCCAAATCAACTTGTGCATCCAGGCAACAGCACAACGGAGGAAGAATGGAGAGTTAGAAATGGAGGATGGGGAGGGAAAACTGAAGCCCCACTTGATTTTGTTTTAGATTGATTTCTGTATCAGTATAACCTTTTTTAAGGAAAAAAAAAATCCTACCCTTTGATTTTATAAATCTGTTGGCTGGATGAATCTACTATGCATCCAAACGTGTGAAATCCTGCTGATCATTTCCAGTGTGAGGCAGAGCCAGTCAGGGACTTCAACTGCTGCTCAGGGCCAAGGCCATGATACGCAGAGGCAATAGGTACAATGGATCTTTGTTTTTGAAGTGTCTATTTTGCTTTTTACTCTGCAAAGGCTTGAAATGTAAAAAACAAAAAAACAAAAAAGGGTATATTGAGAGTGCATATCTGAGCACAGGTAATTTGAACCCAAACTGTAACAAATATAATCTGTTTAATGTGCTGAAGGTTGCCTAGCTCCAGTAATGAGAAAGCTACGTGGAATATGGCGTTAGTGAATCTTAATCAACATATATGATTATAATAATACAGTCAGCTTAATGCTCTCTGAGGCTATATTTTTACCGTAAGTGTTGTCCTTAAATCTCTGCATTCAAACAAAGCATATCTGGACCACACCCTTTTTTCAAATAGATCCCAGTTAGATATAAAATACAAGCCAACAACAGCGATCAGCGAGTAATTATTTTGCTTTCTAGGCCATTTTTGAAGACAGAAAAACAAAATGCACTTAATAGGTTTGCATATACTGGAAAATATTTCCCATAAGTTATTGTGGTCAGAATGAGCTGTGCTTGTGTCAGTGAATACAAAAATAGATGGAAAGTAAATGATGGGATGTGATTTACTGAGGAGGCGGTTTAAATTAAAGAGAAGCATCTCAGCTGTACCTTGCTTTCTATCTACCTGAACAGCTTGCTAATGCAGCATCATTCAGTGACGGGTGGGGCTCACCAATCTCTTACATTCTTCTTATAGAAAAAGGATAGAACTGCAATCTGTGAATAATATTTTCTCACTCATCTGAGGTTTTAATAAAAGCTACAAAGGCTGTATAATATAAGAATGGTTGCATTTTAATTGCTTTTTTTTACTCTGTAAAATCTTTTCATAGACAGTTTGTTTTACATTCAATTATTTAAAAATGTGAATAATTCCATGTTAAACATTTTTTCCTGGAAATCAAGTATTAATAAATAAAGAATAAATTATTGCTCCAAGGATTGTCCTGAAAGAGACCACACCCTGCTTAATAAAAAAAAAAATACAATCAAAATCATTCCCCACATCTTAGGATTTCTAGTATTCCAGTTGGACAACTGGACCCAAACCCTGCCAGTAAAATGCTGCCAAGAGAACCAGCAGCTCCCCTCACAATAGGGAATGATGGGATCCCTGTCTTTTTTTTCTTTTCTTTTTAATCTGTCTCCCATATGTGCAGGAAATAAATCAGCATGTGTGAAATTATCAGTGCATACTCCCTTATACTTCCAATTTACCTTTGACATCAGCAGAAAAACGAGCCGAGTGTCTGGAGACAAACAGCTTGAGCTCCTGGTCCAGGTTGCAGTCAATGAGGTTGGTGTCCCATGATCGGATCCCTGCAACAGACACATACTGTACAGCAAAGGTTCTTTGATAAAACAGTCATTTAGTTAAGGCATCCTGTACAGCCTCTCCACCCACCCACCCACACACACTACTGCTGGATCATCTGCTTCTGGTTCATTGGAAAACTTGGAGTCAACATGTCTAGACTTGCAACAAATTTGGCATGAGCAACGGGATCCATAATAGGAAATATCTATAGTGCTTTTTGTGTTCTGCCCTGGGCAAATGGCAACGATGGCCTCCGTTCTGCTGACTCATAGTATCACCTCTTCTAAAGTATAAAATTATACAGGGCAATTATTTTTTCTTCTTCAAGCATATTAGTTTACAAAATGAAAGGTAATCTAACAAAGTATATTTTATTTAACAAATGAACAATTTTTTATTTGAATAAGGAATTTATTGTATGTGCAGAAGTCTTTATGTTTTTATAAAAAAAAAATAATCTAGTCAATGTTAGGATCTGTAATTAGATTTGTGGCAAAGAAAGTTTTTTGTTGAAGAAACAATTTAAGCTTGGATCCAGCTTTTGCAAATTCAACAAAAGCTAAGGCATATATTACTAAACCTAAAAGCAAATTTGGCACCTTAACCCTTAAAACACAGGTTGCCAAAGAATAATAGGCAATAGCTGTGGATTTCTGAAATTCATCAAGTCACATTTATGGAAACAAGTTAGTTTTTAGCTTTTAAGATTAAGGACAAAACGTAAAATTAAATTATCCTTTATTTGACCTTTTTTTGCTTGATATTTTTATTTGACAGTTTTATTTCCTAATTTTTGCTTGGTTTTTCAGTGAATTTGAATAGATCCTATTCAGTTTCAGCACCCTATTATGAAACCGATTGGATTAAAAAAACGTTTAGGAAATTAAAAGGGAAATTTGTTTGAGGAATGAAGGCTTGTCCACCCACATTAAAACAATAAAATTATTAAAAGTAGTTTGTGTGTAATTGATATTCCTAAAATGGTAAACTTTATACAAATATTCTCATTCCATGCAAGCTTTTCCTGTGTATCCACAGCTACTGTAAGACCCTCTATCCAATTGCAGTACCTCCCCCAGAGTTAAGATGCTCAGCTTCTAAGCAACTTTTAATAAACCATTAATGCTGCAACTAAAATTAGAAAATCAACTTAAATTCTTCCTCCCATATACAGACCTTTACACAAGTAAGAGAGTTGCTAATTTATATTATCTTAATATAATGATTCGTAATACATTCAACATAAAAATACAATGTAAGGCAAAGAAAATGCAGCTCAAAATTAAACAATCTGCTTTAATTTGTAACAACTAATTTAGGCTTTCAGCTTAGAAGCTTAAAGAATTAAGTTGAATGATTCAATTACTTGAAGTGATTCCTTAAAGTTGGAGCTACATTTTCTTTTTAGAGTGTAGGATATTCAGTTAAACTCATATCCAATAGTTTAGATGGATCTTTCCTTCCAAAATAAAATATTTAAGGAATCTAAAGCAAGTTAGACAATTAATGTACCAAATAGAATGAACGATTAAAACATTGATAAATATATAAGTAAAGTTTAATTTGATCAGAAATTCATTTTTATAGTAAACACAATCCAATTTGACTTTAATTAACCCTACAAGGCCAATTATAAGCTTACAGTGCCAAGATTTATATAACTAAAATATATATATATTTTTGGGCTGCCACTAAAGCATAATAAATTGAATATACACTCCTTAAAAGCAAATGTGTCCTTTTAAGAAGCTGTGTCATATGTTAGAAGAGCTTATTCCTCTCTAACACAACACAGGGAATGTAGTCTGAGAGGCAGGCCTCGGAAGCAACTGTATAATAATAATAATAAAACACCCCGCCCAACTCATTCCAAGGTTGGGTCCTCATCGCTTTCCGTAGGGACCGCAGTGCGGATTGGGCCACGCCCACAAGCCGGTGTAGGGATGAGAGTGCTGGATGCGGGATGAAGAGGATGATGATGGAAACATGATCTCGCATGATGGACGGGAAGGTCTGATTGATTTACAAGGAAATCAGCTCAGTCTGAGGAGACAAAGACACAAAGCGAACCCCAACCCCCCCTGCTGTCTCCTCTAGCAGTGGAGTATTGAACAAAAGACGCACCTAAATAATGCCAGAATAAGGGCATATGACCGCAGCCGCTCTGGACTTGTAGACATGGGATGCGTTAATGACGCAGTGTCCAGATTTGGTGCTGAATCATTAGGCAGCTGTCTTTAGTCTGGATGACAACAGACAGGCCAAACTGCTCAGATCATAAGAAGTGGGGAGAAGATATAATATAAAATATATATATATATATTAAAAAATAACCCCCCAATAGAAATAGACGAGAGTATTTTCTAAGTGTTGAGTCAACGCGTAATTTGCGCCGTGTGCGTAAAGTGCTGCAAATCGAACAGGTGAAAAAAAAATGTGAAGTCATGAGCTGAGCTTCACCTCACCTTTCTCTATGTCCGCAATGGCACATTTCAGGTGCTCTTCTGATATGATCTCCCCGATCACCACCAGCAGGTAGAATTTGCTGTCGTTGAAATGCTGCGATGGGCTGGAGGACGTCGGAGAAGCTCCAGCAATGTTGCTCTGGGCGCCCAAACTCTCCATTTCTGCAGGTTCTAGCAGCGTGGCCATCATCTCCTGTCTGTTTTCTACACTTATCTGAGCTTATCCTATGGATCTAACCAACAGCCTGCCCCCTCCCCCCTTTTTTTGTATTCGCCTACTCCCCGAAAAGTGCCGGACTGGTGTCCAGACCTGCGAATGGAGCGCAGATAGGAGTGGCTCTAGCTCTTTATACCGGCAGACATTGTGTCATGCTCAGTAACCGGGGAGAAGAGGGCGCCGGGATTTTATTATTTATTTTTTTTGCACACTCACTCCACAGCTGATGTCATACGCAACGAATCAAATGCCTCCGGAAGTCAGCAAGACACGTTGATGCATATATAGTCACCATGGAACTGAAGTTATCATTTGTCCCTCACATACTAACATTCCTCTGACAACAGAAAAAAAAAATGCACAGCAAAAACAAAATTTTATCTGAAGCCAGAAAATCCAAATGACAGCTACAAAAATACATATAGTTAAATATAATTTAAAAGTATCGATTCAATTCAGCTTATTTATATAGTACCAATTTATAACATATGTCATCTCAAGGCACTTTATAGTTCACCAGATCATACAGTCAAATTGATTAAAAGTTTTCTATCAAAGGAAAACCAGTTGATTCACAGGCGTAACTTTCTGATGGACTGGATATGCCCCCACCAGTAATTTCAATAGGCTTTGGCTCTCAGCAATAAGTGGGACACATTTCTAAATTTCATTTTGCTGCTTTTGAAGGAGGATAATCACTGATGTAGCTGAAAGGGGAAACATCCAATTAATCAATCTAAATTTTTCTGGATGGATTAATGGATGGATGAATGAAAAAGAAACTATGTGCATACTAGGGAGGCACAATATATTGCTGTTGGCATCAGAATCGGCTGTTATTCATCCTTTTGTAATATACATTAATGTCTAACTACCCATAAATATAAATATCAGTGTATTTTGGTTCTTTTTTGTTCTCAACAATAGGAATGCATTCAATAAATATATGTTTGGGCTCTATTTTGGGAAATACAAACCCTATTGAAAGCGTTTGTGCCAAGTACTGTAGGTCCATCAGCCGCCACTCTTAGAGTGCCCCCATCAACTTTCATCACAAAGTTACACCCTTGTGTTGATTGCATTGACTCATTGACTCGAATGCAATCCCTCACACTAAGCATGCTTGTAGCGACAG